CAAAGAATGAAACTCCATATTCTAAAATTACTCAAATTAAAGAATACAGACCAAATCTTAAAGGTAAGAGTGCCAATTACACAAAGATTGGTTTTTAGCCATGGTTTCCCCAATGACTTAAGCTTGACCATTTGCCTTTGTGGAAGAGGGAACAAAATCATCACCCCTCTTAGTCTTTCGCACTGCTGGTTGCTTGGCGTCCTGGCTTTGGCATGGCAGCATCACCATTACCATCCATAGCAGATTCATCACTCTTCATACATGAATCCTTGACCTGCCATTGAAAATAACCAAGGTAATAAAGTAAATGAAACACTAAATGTAAATTTTCTATACGTAGAAATCTTAAAAATGTTAAGGCTAATGAATGAGGGGCTATAAATTGGTGTGTTTATATAAAGAGCCAAATTTGAAGATCCAAAATTTCAAATGAGGGGCTGCCCTTCAATAGCCAAATTTGGATTTCCAATTTATGAAGAGTACGCAGAGTATCCCTAACACGAAGCCAAGCACATCTATCCAAAGTATCAGAGGTAATCAAATTGAAAGATATCAAATTGAACAAAAAATAGATTTTAAACCAGACTAAGATGCAATGTTGTTGTCTACAATCCATAAGCAGTCAACTAAATGGAGAATTGAATAGCCCAGTCATCAAATTCAACCCTAATAGAAACCCATAAAGCATAGCAAAGCTCAATATGTAATAACTCATCAACAAGAAAATGAATAAAGTACTCAACATGGCATGCTTTTTTCATATTTTAGTTGTTCCTTAAGAAATATCACATTCCCCATAAGTAACTTTTAGAATGCTTGGATTTTTTATACTTAGATAACCTCAACAACTCATAACAAAACATCAAAATTAGGCAGCAGTAGGTTGAGGGAGGAGTGGAACGTTTACCAAGCCAGGCAGCAGTTCCAGCAGCAATGCACAGCCCAAAACCACAGTTTAATCCACTCCACCACCCCAAAAACAGCAACACCACAGTAGCATCTAGTGGGAAAGAGCAGGTGATTTCAAACTCAACTTCAACAGTCCATGGCAGCAGCATTTCCAGCCCCATACTTCCCAAGGTACAACTGACCAAGATGAAACCACCAAAAACCAAAAGAACCTCAAGAAGTATGTGTGCCATCCCATCCCTCAAGAAGACTGAGTTCAGCAAACAAACATCACAATGGAGTATGCTATTCGAAAATGGCAGCACTGGAGATCATGATTTGCCAACAGCAGCTTTGGGTGGCTCTCCAATGAAGTAGTCTAGCCAACCCCAGTGATGCCACTGCCCAGCCCTAGAGAACAGAAAATCAGGGCCTAAACACCACTGACCAGCTGGTTCATGCCACAGAAAACCATTCCACGTACCTGGTTGTGTCCTATTCCTCTTAACAATACCATTACAGCTTCATGAACAAACCACAGAAACTGGGCAGTCCAAGACGAAGTCGTGCAAGCAAAGAAATGAAGAACATGGTCACAAAGCAAATTCATGATGCACGATCAGTTTGTAGCTCCATTACAGTCCCCATTTGATTAGTATTACCCTCAAACAGCCAACCAAACACCAGCCCAGGCAATAAAGGCTAGACCACTAGCAAAACCGCACAGGTACACTAGAACGTGAACACTAACTCGAGCAACCAAATCAAAGAGACCAAAATCAAGTTGTTTGAATTAGGATTCCAACACCAGACGTTGAATGGCCCTTGAATCACGAACACAATACCAGAAAATGGGATTGAAAACGAGCAAAAAGCATGGGTAAACCTGGACTTGAAGAACTCGCTATGAACAGTGACTCCGAGTCCAAAATTTTTGCTCAATTCGCAGCTTCCTTCAACTGGTTTGGAAAACCAATTTCAGGTGTTTAAAGAGCATCCCAAGTCGCCCATAATCCCCCAAAAAGTGGCCTTCTAACGAGCTTGGACCGAGGTGAATTGAACCTTCAAGAGTCGCATATGAACAGTAACTCGAGAAGGTTGACCTGCGATTCTTGCTCAATCCAGCGCCGAAAATGTCAAATTGAGCTGAAGAATGGATTGCCATGCCCAAAACGATTCTAGAGCTCTAAGAATCGGTCCAAAAATTCAACAAATTCAAGATGAAAGCAAGGGTTTAAGATCGGCAGTGAACAGTAACTCGGGGAGACTGTCCAGCAATCCAAAACATGTGATAGATGCAGAGTTGTGATGTGGAAGAAGATGACGGAAATTATCCCTATTGGAGAAGATAGACCTAATTGCAAAATTGGGGCACATAGGCGGGCAATGAAAAATTGGAGGGATTCTAAAATTTGAGATGAGCATGAAAATTTTTAGAAACAGCAATTTGATTTTTGAAACAAAAAAGTTTTTTGATCCATAAATATTTCACTCTTATGTAACACTTTCATGATAGTACATGATGTGTTTCCAAAAAATAAGTAGTCAAAATAATAAATTAGTTGTAAATTTTTATGTTGATTGAATTTTTTACTCACATGGAGTCAATTCCACAAGATACCCATATTTAAAGATTAGATTCGACAAATAGGACACAACGTAGAAGAGTAAATAGATCTTTTTGAAGATTTGATCTGGTCTTATTAGACATGAATTTGATTTGATCCAATTATATCTGTTTTGTCCAATTTGATCTGATTAGGTCCGATCTGATGCTTTTAAAGATTATAACAAGCAATAAGGACACAACCTATATAAGTAAATAGGTTTGCTATGAAAGTTTGATTTGATCTTATTAGATTCGAAATTTATTTGATCCCATTAGATCTGTTTTGGTCTAATTTGATCAAATTAGGTCCGATCCAATGCATTTAAAGATTAGATCAGGTAAATAGGACACAACGTATACAAATAAATATATCTTTTTAAAGATTTGATCTGATCTGATGGATTTGAATTTGATTTGATCCGATTAGATCGATTATGGTATAATTTGATCTAATTAGGTTCGATCTGATGCATTTAAAGATTATATCAGGCAATTAGGATACAACTTATACAAGTAAATAGATCTTCTTTGAAGATTTGATCTGATCTTATTATATTTGAATTTCATTTGATCAGATTAGATCTGTTTTGGTTCAATTCAATCTAATTAGGTCCGATCTGATCCTTTTAAAGATTACATTAGGAAAATAGGACACAATCTATATATATAAAAATTTAGATTTTCTTGGAAGATTTGATCTGATCTTATTGGTTCTGAATTTGATTTGATCCGATTAGATCTATTTTTGTCCAATTTGATCTTAACCGAACTGTTTTCATAATAGTATAGGATGGGTTTCCAAAAAATAAATAGTGAAAATACCTAATCGTTACCACTATAATAATAAAATAATAAATTAGTTATACATTTTTTGTTAATTGAATTTCTTACTCACATGGATCCAATTCCACAAGATACCCATATTTTTGACCGTATAACATCATACCGGTACTGATAACTAAACTAGTTACTTGCATAGTCCAGTTTGGCTAATCAAATCTTTAAATTCATCAGATCGGATATAATTAGATCGAATCAGACCAAACATATATAAGCGAATAATATCAAATTCAAATCCAATAAGATCAAATCAAATCTTAAAAATATCTTTTTACTTGTACAATTTGTGTCATATTTGCCTGATCTAATCCTTAAATGCATGAAATCTGATCTAATTAGATCGAATTAGACAAAAACAGATATAATCGGATCAAATCCTATGCATTTAAGGATTAAATCATGCAAATATGACACGACCTATACAATTAAATTGATTGTTTTAATATTTGATCTGATCTTACTAGATTTGAATTTGATTTGATTCGATATTTTTGAAGATTTGATCTGATCTTATTGGATTTGACTTTAATTTATTCCGATTAGATCTATTTTTGTCCGATTTGATCTAATTAGTCCGAATAGTTTTATTTAAAACTCTTTTAATTTGATCTAGTCTAATCTGATATGATGAGATCTCATTTCATTACATATCATCTAAACAACATATAAACATAATAAATTGAGATGCACTGGCTCACATGAAAAATACAAGCAATAAGATCTGATTGAATTTGTATTGATCTTATCTTATCTTAGAAGAATTGGATCTTTGCAAGTAATCAGTTCAGTTATTAGTACCGGTAAGATCTTATGTGGTCAAAAGTAGAGAGAAAGACCAAAGTAGGACTAAAACATTGAAAATATACCAAAATAGGACTTCCATGTTTTTATTCCCGAAATAGGACTTACATTACCAAACATGATCATATACATTACCAAGAAAGTATAGTAATTTGTACATGTACACTGCCACATTACCACAATGCAAAGTCACATTACCACAGTGCAAAGTCCTATTCCGAAAAAAAACATGAAAGTCCTATTTTGATACTTTTCTCTATGTTTTAGTCCTATTTAGGATGATTTCTATCAAAAGTATGAGTATCCTAAGGAATTAGATCAGTGTGAGTAACAAGTTTAGTTATCAATACTTGTAAGATCTTATACGATCAAAAATATGAGTATTTAGAAGAATTGTTTCTGCAGAATTACCTTGTTCTGTTATCAGTACTAGTAAAATCTTATATGGTCAAAAGTATGAGTATCCTAAGGAATTGTAAGTATAATATTTATTTTCTATTTATTAATTACCAATTATGTTTTTAAATAAAATTATTTTAAAAAAGATGGTATTTTACACGTCCTCCAAAATGTCCCAATTAATTTGGAATGGAGGGAGTACATGTAAAAAAATCATTATCACATACTAGTCAAAATCGGAGTTACATATTTTTATTTACAAAACCAGAGTTACAATGCCAATAATCTCAACACATAATACCAAAAAGTACTCTATAATGTCAATATAAAATGTCACAATAAAAATTTTTATTTTGAAATTAAAAACATTAATATTCTATTTTAGTACATTCTCTCTTTTTTACTTCTATTTTGAGTGATATCAGTTTAAAAAATTACTAATTTTTTTGAAATAAAAAATACAGAGTAAAAAAGTTAAACTAATTAAAGATAAAATCTAAAAAAGTGAAACTTAGCAGGGCATAGGGGACGAAAAAACTGAGGGAAGATAAAAGTTTTGACAAAAGAAGGAGAGGAAAAAAAATTCGGTAAAGGAGAGGGAAAAAATTTGGGAAAGGAGAGGGAAAATATTAGGTTAAAAATTTTAAGTCCACACAATACACAATGCAAAGTTGAGCCGCAGATAAGGAGTAGATGAGAGTTTCTCTCTCTAGGGCGTAAGAACACTGGGTAGTAACTAGAATTACTGTTCACTGCCTTCTTCCCTTCGATTCTTCCATTTTTTGTAGCTCTTCTTTGCACAGTTTCTGGAACCCTGGGTAGATATGACACTTGCGCAAGTGAATATGCACTCAATTTGGGATTTGCGCAGATGGTTTTTGCTAAATTTGAGGTCAACGCGATGTTCGTCACTATTCATCTTCGGTCATGGTTTGCAGATTCGAACACATCTAAATGCATTTGAAGGGGTTTCTTTTGGGTTTTTTCTTGTTTTTGTTATCTTATCCACGGTATGATGATTGATTCCAATTCCTTTTGATTTATCTTGCGATTTGAGGCATTTTTGGGTTGCAAAATCACTGTTCCTCTCGATTTGGTGTTCTTCACCATCTATATACATTTTATGTTCACAATGTTTCATTTAATATCAATGATGTGTGAAAAATGAAGAGAAAGTGACAAAATTGTGTATGGGGTCTGACTGGGTGTAATTGTAGACCTTGGACAGGACTCCCTACTCTTCTTCTTCCCAAGCCCCCCATCCCCCCTCCCCTACAGATTTTTCTTAGGAATCTGATCAGAAAGACGAAGTAACAATTTGGAGCAGCAAAGAAACAATCGGAAGTAGAGAGTAATATACTCCTTTAGAAAATCAGAAGAAACAAGTGCATTACGGAGTATGTATTTTGTGCTTTATTTGTGAGACTGTGTTTTCTAAAGGATTTGAAATTTCTAAATGAATTTGAAATTTCTTTTGTTGGACCAGAACTACCTCGCACTTCATTCTTTATATACAGAGGAATGAATTAATTGTACATTTCACATACTTTTTATTTAAAATTCATTTTTTGTGTTTTTTTAATTAGTTTTAGTTGTACGATTAAATAATCTATTATTTTCATAGATGTCATTTCAAAAGAAGGCAAAGAGGGGGGGAGTCATTGTCTATCTGTCAGCTTCTGACTATTTATGGAATTGGGGGAGGTGTCAAATAAACTCATTGTTGCTAACAATCCAACACACTTCTTGTGATAGCCTATGGCATTCACTTCTCCACTTTAACCTTTTTGAGCGATGTCTTTCCATGTTTTTTTAAAAACCCGTTTTCCATGTTTTGTTATGCATCAAACACAGTTGATATGTGATATTTCCTTATCGTGACAAAAATCTATTTTGTTATGATAAGAC